AAAAAGAAAACGTGTACGATGCACTTCGAAATACGTACCGTCGCGACGGTGCGCATTGTGTTCCAGGTGGTTGGTGTGTTAGTGTGTGTGAATGTAAGTAGGCAGCGAGGCTAGAGTACCAGCGGTTGCTCGAACTGAGGCCCTCATATACCTTACTGGGGTCCCCCGTTCCTACCCCCCTCTTGCCCTCTACACTCCTGTTAGCTCTGGGGGACTTTCACTATCTATTCGACTCCTGTATATACGGTCGCCTTGTCTCGTTACAGCACCTTATATCCCCTAAATATTCCCCACCAGGCTGGCCCGGTTTCTCGAGAATCTGGAAAATCGATCGTGAAGTGGACCGGTTTTCGCCACTTGCTATTTTATCGGGTACACCAGGCTTCCGTTTTATTGTTTATTTATTTTTCGGAGGAGGAGGGGAAGGAAGGGAAAAGAGATATGGAAATTGAAAGGATTTTCGGACGAATTTTTTGAAAAGGAAGAATGAAGAAACTTTGAATGGTATGAATTTTATTGTTTTCTTTTTTCTTTTTCTTGGCTTGTTATGGACTTTGAAAAAATTGGGGGAAACATTGAAATTGGGATGATTTTTGAACATTTTTGTTATTTAGATGAGTGAAATTGTTCAAAGAAATTGTCAAGAGTGCATTAAAATTGGAATGATTTTTTTAATGTAATAACTTTAATATCTGTTAAAATAACTTTCTCGAATTATCTCTTTACAAAAATAGGAAAATTTTTGAATAACAACGTATATTGCAATGAATCGGAATTATTTTAAACGAATCCACAAATTGGTTACGTAAATAACGAGAACCTGTAATTATTCGACTGGTCAGGATAACAAAGAGAGGATTATCGAGGCGTTAGGTTTTTGATCGAGGGAATGGATCGAATTTGTTCTTTGCCTCCTCTTATATTACCGTTGCAGTAACTCGTATACGGGACACGTTGGTCGGCAGGTTGTTCTGGTTTCTCGTCACTCTTGAAAATCATTCTTAAGTTCTCGATTCGAGTGCTGATCAATTTTTATTGTCTCCCCGATACCTTTCACTGTGTGTTTGATTCTTGCACGTTCGATCGCCGTGCGCGCCTCATTAAGGATATCATTTGGATTTTATTCATTTGGAATTTGGCGTTTAAGGTGTTGGCCGGCCATTATCGTTTTCCCTCGGCTCTCTGATTGTACGGGAATGGAATTTTAGAAATCCATTAGGTGTTGCATTGCAAGCTAATTAAGGTGTATTTGTTAATTTTTTACTATGATTAATTTTTATAGTAAGAACATTGGAAAATATTGAAATTCGTTCCTTTTCTAAGTAATACGAAATTCGATCGATTATAGAATGAATGGATGAAAAATATTTGTGGTAAAATATAAATGAATGAATAATATAGCTTTGCAGTCTCATAAAAATATACGTATTTTATTATTAAGTGCTACATGCAATTTTTAATACGTTCTTTTATGAACGTCTTTTGCATAATTAGATATCGCAATTACGATACAAGCGATTACTGTTATTAACAGTCTTTTCTTAAATGGCTCATCAGATGAATACATATCGCGTTACAAATTGCCACAAGTTGACGAAGCCAACATTTTGCAAAAATGTTATAAAATTTTTAAAAGTAATCGAAGCGAAGCAAGTATTTTTGCATTGTATTTTTAATAAATTATTAATTCAAATAGATTTACGATAATATCGAATGGTTATTGTAAATTCTGATTAACCAAGTTTTTAGATACTGATAATAACAAAAGTGATACCTTACACGCAAAGTTGTTCAACTCCAAGTTTCTATGGTGAAATTATTATGTAAAAGTACCCATGTAGATATTGAGGTCACGCTACAGAAATTATACATATATATATATGTATATATAGCAGTTGAACGAAATAATGAAACTTTTACCACGAATACCAAATTTTATTCAAATACCGATATCAAAATTTATTCAACTTTTTGTCTCGATTTAACCGATATTGGATGGAAAATATTACATTCGTACAAATTCCACTTTAAATTTGGTCTGAATTATAAATTAACTTAATAATTACAGGAATAATTAATTTATAGATAGTTCATTTTCCTTTATGTTAGTAATATATATTCTTATGAACTAGCATGATATAATTTTAACAATTTTTCACTTATTACCTCGTTACTTATTTCTAAAATAAAATTGTGAATAGATTGTTTCATAACATTTCACAGCAGACAGATTTCTTTTATTAATTCATTCGCTTTCTTTTTCAAATAATTTAATTATTGTACATTCCAAACAAAAATTACATAAATTGGAACTAAGAATCGAGTAAGATGAAAAAAAGAATGGAATGCATTTCTTCTTACTTTATAGTAATTCGTTTATATTCCAGCTTTGTACAAGTGAAAAAAATTTCAAAGTTCAAGTATCATTCAAGCACTACCGTTACCTATGCAGTCTATGCCTAGCCTGTTACAGTTAACCAATAACACGTTTTATAATATCGAAACAATAATACGATTAAATACGTTAAAATAATAGAAATTTAATATTCAATAACAATGATAATTATTTCAACAAATATATATTTATTTCGCAATAATTTAATTAAATAAATATTTAACCACCAATTATACATTATCGTAAATTTTACTCGAATAAACGAAAAACTATTTGATCGATAGATCAATTACACGTTTATGGAATGGAATGAAATAAAATAAACTAGCCAGCACGCGCTTAATCTTTAATTATAGTACCGTCTATAACTCTCGATTTTGTAAGAATAATTACATCGATCGAGTAACGATCGTGTAATTAATCTCATAAGTTAAAATAATCTGTTCAACTACACGTGCTTTCTTTCTCTCTCTCTCTTTCTAGATAGATAATAGAAACAAACTTGATTTCGCGAAACACAACGAGTATGTAAATTCACAGTGAACACACGACGATGTTTTCTAGTTAAAATTAAATTGTGAAGTAAATGTCGACATCTCAGAAACATAAAGAATTAAATACCTATTAGCACGATATGATATTCCAAGGGAATTCAACACCACAATTAACACCTTATCTCGGCTTATTTTCGTGATCGAAAATTTTTCACGATGGATCGTGGTAAGGGGAAAATCGATACCAATAGCCTGTTACCTTGAAACTGACCGAATACAAGGTTGATTCGGTAAAACACAACTGGCAACTCGGTCTTTGAAAACGTGCTCGACACTCCGCTTCGATTTTCACCCGACTTTTGCGAAATGCCTCCTCAAACCGTTTTGTTTTCTGCCGTAAAATTAGCCTTCGATCAGCGTTTCGCAACTTTCTATTGGCACGCTGCTTAGATCCCCTGCTGATCGATATATTTCGTCGATTACCCGAGACAACGGTCACTTCCGTAATTTCTCCTGGACGTGTAATTTCAACGTGTAATTAAATTTCAAGTGTTTATCACTCGATTCGAGGATTAATTCGTCTGTTGGAAATGAATGAATCCTTTCTCGTAATACGCTCAATTGAAAATGAGCTGACAATCTATTCATTTATGGAACGAGAGAAAAAGATTTCAATTGATTCTTATTTTCCTCAGGATCGTCGTTTTACAGTTGAGGATAGATGAGAAAAGACACCAAACTAAATTTTATCTGAATTTAAAAGAATTCCAAATATTCATATACAACAATCAAATATTTAAAACCTTTTACGTAACACTAATAGTAGAACTCGTACAAGAATCATCCATCGTAAACTTCGATTTTCTAAATTACCTTATAATCATCTCTTCCCAACAATGAACGACCCCAATCACGATTCCCACGTAAATTTCATTTCACGTAACTCTCATTCATATCTCCCGTATTAATTATGATAACAAATCGTAATCGTATTACGTATATACGCAGAAATGACCGACGGCCTCTCCTCCTCGCAATAAAACTGCATCCTCGAGGATTGTTCGCGATTCGTTCTCGAGTTTTCGAACTTGGCGAGCGTGCATCTCAATAAGAATCGCGATAATTGGCCGGCAACGACCCAGATTGCGCCGCGTGTACACCCGTTCGACTTCATTTTGCCGATGATCTATACTCTCAATGCCAGCCGGTGAAAGGGAGATCCAGTCTGGTCAATTTCGTGTGTCCATCGAGCAACTGCCCCGATCCCTCTCAACCTCTTTTAACCGGGTTAAATTCTGTTCGTGCTGATATCAGGCGCCGATTTTTGGGGAGCTTTTTGTCTTCTCGGGCAAATTGTTTTCGATCTTTGGTATCGTGAGAGAGCTTATTGATCTTGATCTTGTGGTATTAAATTTTTTGGGATACGTCTCCCTTCGAGAGAATGCTTCCTTCGATATTGTAACCACGTATGAGATGAATCGTTTGAATAGAAGATAAAATAGAATATCTCATTGCGGATCGTTTGATGTATTTGTCTTTGTTACTAAAATCAGAATAGCATTGGATTGGAATGGAATTATTTTGGTAAGAGTGGTTAGATTTGGATTTAGATTTGGAAACGTTACTTCCGGTAGAATCGAGGAGAAAGAGCAAAGCGTTTTAACAGGCAGTATAGTATGATATGACTCGTTGCAAGGTATGCAAGGTCAATCCGACTGTTGCCTTTCACGTGTCACTCTCTTCGAAACTGCACGGAATCACTTTATGTATTAATATTTAACTGGATCTCGATTCACTTAAATTGAAAACGATTTTCGCAAAAGGCAAAAGATTGGTTTGTTATTAATTCATAGCTGCTCTTTCACTTCGATCGCGAGAAATCAGATCGCATCGATGAAATTTACACTTTTTGATCGAGCCAACGCCAAGTTTCCTCGCGTACACAAAATCGCTTGTTTAACATTTCAAAGGAATACCGGAGGAATTTTTTTATCGGGGCCAGGTTGATCTCGTTTTCACTCTAGCATTCTTTTCATCGGACAGCCTTCTCTAATTGACCATACTCCACTTTCTATTTCTATGTAACAATTCGAAACGTTGTTACATGTAAATAATACCATTGTAATTAAGAGCGTTTTCTTCGACCAAAATTGGGAGTATTGTTACAAACACGTGACGAAATGATATTATGTATTGAGAAATTCTTCCGTTTCTTG